CGGCCCTGGTGCTCCGGCGGGTGGAGGGAGAAGGTGTCCCTTCGATGGTGAGCAAGGGCAGCCCCTCCGTGTGGCATCACTCCGCTCACCTGTGCGCCGATGGGAGCCAATCCACGGGTGATGGAGGGCAGTGCAAAGAAAAGGGGCAACCCGCTTCCCCCCCTCCCCCCCTCCCCATGGGAGGGCACCCCAGACCTAGAGGGCTTTGAGGCAGAGCCCAGGTGAGGCAGAGAGATGGGTCCGGCCCAGCGGGAGAGCTTGCCGTGGCACCCCGTCCATCCAGGAGAAATTCTGCAGGGGCAGAAAATGGGACAAGGTGAACAGGACCCAAGAGAGAGATCGGTGCTAGGGAGAAGTGGCTTCTTGGGGGGGGGGGATTCTGGGAGTTGTAGTCCATGGGTTAGGGGGTGCCCTATCTGCCCTGCCTCAGGCGCTGGCAACCCACATGATGCCACTGCCTTATTTATTTTATTGAGTTAAAATAGTTCTACTCCACCTATCTCCTCAAAAGGGCCCAAGGGGGGTCCCATCGGTGCACAGGTGAGCGGAGTGATGCCACGCAGAGGGGCTGCCCTTGCTCGCCATCGAAGGGACACCTTCTGGCCCGTCTCACTGGGTTGGGATGGGAAGGCCCTGTGGCTCCAGTCCTTCCTGGAGGACAGAACCCAGAAGGTGGTGCTGGGGGGCTCCTGTTCGAAACCCTGGCCACTGGCCTGTGGGGTTCCCTTCGGGTTCTGTTTTGTCTCCTGTGTTATTCAAAATCTCCACTGAGGTCCGTCCGGGTTCTGTTTTGTCTCCTGTGTTATTCAGCATCTCCACTGAAACCACGGGGAGAGAGGATCCGGCGTTTCAGGCTTCGGTGTCACCCGTAAGTGGACGACACCCAACTCTCCCTCTCCTTGCCAGCTCAAGCCGAGGAAGCTCCTTCGGCTCTTGATCCGTGTTTGGTATCGGTAACAAACCGGGTGAAGGTGAATCAACTGAAACTTAATCCAGAGAAGACGGAGGTGCTCCTGGCCAGTCGAAAGGCAAATCAGAGAATAGGGATGCAGCCGGTGTGGGATGGGATTTCACTCCCATTGAAAGAGCAGGTGCGCAGCTTGGGGGGTGGGGGTGGGGGTGATCCTGGATTCATCCCCGATTCTGGACGCCCAGGTCTTGCCAGTGGACGGAAGTGCCTTTGCACGGTTAAACCGAGTGAGCCAGCTGTGCCCGTTTCTGGAGGGATCTGATCTGGCCAGGGTGACGCACGCCCTAGAGACTTCCCGGCTGGATGACTGTAACACACTTTATGTGGGGGCTGCCTTTGGGAAGTGTCAGGAGGACCCTCCAGCAGGTCCGAAACTCAGAGGCCAGATTGCTGGCTGGGGCTGTTCACAGGGATCGCACCCCCCCCCCCCTGGCACAGCCGCTCAATGGGCTGCCAATCCCTTTCCGGGCAGAACTCCAAATGCTGGTTCTAACCAAGGAAGCCCTATGGCAAGGACCACTCCTCCCGTTATGAGCTTGGTCAGGCGCTAGGATCTCCAGGAGAGGCCTTCCTCTCGTCCTGCCACCTTCACAGGTGGGGACACGGGAGACAGCCTACTCTGTCGCTGCTCCAAGACTTTGGAACTCCCTCCCACTGCAGGCCAGGCTGGCCCCATCTTTACTGTCCTTCAGCGGGCAGGCAAAGACCTTTCTCTTCAGGCAGGTTTTTCCTGAGTGACTGACTGACTGTCTAGGGTACAATAAATGGGATGGTTCATATTTTGCTGCTTCTAAACTGATTTCAGTAATGCGTTGACCTAACATTTTGAATGCAGTGTTATTAATTCCTTTTTAAATATTTGAATAATTTGGTGTTTTTAGCTTTTAATATTGTGTTTTTAATGATGTAAGCTGCCTTAGGTCCTTTTTTTAAGGAGAAAGGTGGTGTTAAAATATTTTAAATAAATAAATGCAATATAAGCACTCCAGGCGATGCTCATTTTAGTCCCTGATGATCCAGCCTGGCCACATACACGACTTATCACCCAGCAGCTAAAGAAGCAGGCACACAGGCCACTTGGTTGTCATCACCTACATGCTGTCTGCTGGGGTTGGGCTAGATGGCCCTTGGGATCCCTTCCCACTCAACAGTTCTATGAGCGCCCAGAGAGCAATGCACTTTTGTTTATGCTCATTCTTTCTAAATGGTGTACTTATTCAATTAGCAAAGGCTTGGGGAAAGTTACTTTTTTAAAATGATTGCTCCTGGAATCTCCACTCATCATGGCCAAAGATGCTGTCACCCGGAAAAACATTTTTCCACAATCTGAATTAGGAAATTTGGGGAAAAAATGGGGGGTGGGAAATCTACATCCACTTTCTGAGGTCATGTATAATGGGCCCTTCTGTGTGTATCTATAGAACGTGTTCACTGCATGCAACTGGAAATTCCTTACCTAGAAAGGCCTATGATGAGACAGTCCAAAATGAAACAAGAGATAGTGCTGGAAGATGAGACCCCCAGGTCAAAGCAGTCAATCAGCCAGTAGGAAAGAACTAAGGACAAGTACAAATAAGGCAAAGCATTCTGCTGATGTGCTGCCACATAGTCTTTAGAGTACCCTCTAAGTGTACAATTTTTCATTATGGAAACAACACTTTGCAAACCCCACCCATCCCTCAGGGAGCCGGGTACTCAATTTACTTACCTTGGAAGGATGAAAGACTTAAGTCAACTACGAGCCAACTACCTTAGCCCATTAGGATCAAACTTTGGTCATAAGTAAAGTCTTCACTGCAATATGGCTGTTTAACCCCTGAGCCACAAGGGGGGGGGGGTTATTGAAAATGGCAATGCCACTATTGATGCAACTACTAGATTGAAGCCGAAAGGATGCCCTAGTCGTGGCTCATGAGTTCATAAGCGAAAGGAATGTCTGATGCTGTGCAACAAATAGAAACGGAATGTGGAAGGTGGGAACTATGAGTCAAAACAAACAAACAATTACAACCTATTTTTACTCTGGAAATGACAACCTCAGAAGAAACCGTGTGGCTCTAATATAAGGCAACATGTAGCACAAGCAGCCAGGGGTTACACTGGAATATCTGCTGCGTAATGTAAATCAAACTTCTTGGGAAACGTATCAACATAATGCTATCATTCAAGCCTCTGCTACGGACACTGAAGACGATGAAACTGAAAGATTTTATGCAAGTATATAGTAGGAAATTGATCCTACACCAAAACAAGACATGCTGATAATTATAGGTGACGGGAATGCAGCAACCAAGCTGAACCGGGTGTTGTTGGAGAACTTGGCCTAGGAGTCAGAAAGGAAGCAAGAGAGCAACTCATACAATTCTGGGAAGCCCATCATCTGTTTAATCGCAGCTACATGCCTCAGGGGGCTGCAGATGACTGTACATGTCCACATTACCAGATATAAAGAGATTGAATAACAGGAAGTAGGAGATGGAGAAACTCTGTTCTCTCTGCCAGAACAAGACCAAGAGCAGATCATGAATTGTTAATATCCAACACTGGAGCAAAGCTGAAGGACATTGAAAGAATCCCAGTGCCAAAATATAATTTAAAGAACATCCTTGATTAATTTAAGCCTGTTAGTCACCCACCCCAGAGCATGGCTTCCCCGCTGCAGAACCAGGTGTGAATTGGCAGGCCTCCCTTTGCTGATTCGACCCCTGCAGCCTGGGCTGGTGATTAGGGTGGATGGGCTAATTGGGACCCCCGCCCGCCCTCACCTGGTTACCCAGAGTCTGCGCCCCAATCTGCATCTGAATGGCCCAC